TTAGGATTTGTAGAGCACCTAGTCTCACACATTTTGTAAAATTTTCAGCCTCACCGGACTTAATATAGCCGAGATATTAAGAAAACAAAATGAAAAAACGTTATTCCGTCACGCTTGGACTGGCCGAGACACTGTTTTTCATCTCATTTAAATGAGAAAAAAACGTTAGTATCGTCAATGTTACACGTGGCGAGAGTATCCATCTATGTATATATATATATATATATACACGTTTGTAGGAAGCATGTTTCTTCGTTTCAAAAATGTTAGAAAGGATAGATTGCCCCACGTGCTTATCCATCTGATATAAATGTATATATATATCAGTAGATAGTAAGACCTCGGAGTTATTAGAATCGCAATCATATATATACATACGTTTATATCAGGTGGATAAGCACCTGGAGCAATCTATCCTTTTCTAACATTTATATGATTGACGTTACTATTAATGACGTTACGTATGATTGACGATACCAACATTTTTTTCTTTTTTTAAACGAGACGAAAAACAGTGCATGTTATATAAGGCATTTTATTTCTTAAAGTAGACTACTTTTATACTCGAACATTTTGCAGTTTATATCTGCTTTTTGAATCTTTTTAAAGTGGGACTAAATCATTAAAATAACCAATTTACAGAGTAAGTACACAGCACTTGCAGTGAGTGAGAGAATATGGATATATAAAATCCTTTGTATTTTACTGTCACATAGTTGCAATTTTCCTCCATTCATTTTGGGTATCAAAAATGGTTCTTCTTTCACATGAAACACACCAAATATAGTGGTTTTCTCAGTGTATCGACCAAGGTATCGACTCATTTAATGTTTGCTGTGTGAAGGTCTCAAAATAAATCTGCACAGAAGTGAGAAATGCATGAAAGGTTAATGTTATGACAATTGTGAGTATCTTGGTGTAATTAGCGACTCTGAAGATGTAGCGGTGATCAGTTCAGTTTTGTATGACGCACGGAGGATTGGGGCTCAGCCATTCCGCCTCATTCGCAGAATATTAGATTCTAATAACGAACTGTTCCCACCGATAATATCTACTGATATATAGTTTCTGAAAGTCCGAAGCGTGAATGTTTTCTTTACATATGGCAAACGTTACCTTACGGTAAAACTCACAGGCGAACTGTAAAACATTTAACCACTCTCACTTTTATTCTGAGATGAAATGCCAGTTATATGGCAAGCCATAAGTGAAAAATACATGAGAAAAACCTATCAGAAGTCCGATAGTGTAACACTGACTAGCGAACATGAGATCTGTTTAGGTAAGGGAACAGAGAGCTGAATTTACTGTGCACATCCTCCGAATTCACGATTCGACTCTCATACTGATTTTTCCTTTTCTAATAGAGATCAGAACATGAGAAAAGCATTGTCTTCTCGACGAACGCATTGAAATTTGATTGCACTATGTTCTTGAAGAGAAGTCCGAGTAAAACATAGTGGAATCAATCGTAGATAACAAACCGGTGACTGAAAAACGTGGAACTAGTAACATTATCGGGCGCTATCAAGATGACCGTTCGGACGGGTGGTCAAAAAACAACAATGACTGGACGCCGTTGATCTGCTCAAAGTGGCACTTCGCAGACCTCAGTCATACCCGCAGATAGGGCTTCGTGTTTCGCTACTGGATATGTTGTCTAAGATGGGCATCGGGACATTCATCTTATGCGTATACTACGAAGTATGTCCTATTTGATGACATAAAAAGTTAGCTTGAATCAAGGTCAATCAGACGGTAGATTCATTGAAATTGATTAGCTATATTTGCAGTCATTTTTCACGAACATACACACGGCCAGAGCAACAGACGACTTTGACATTATTCATTGAATTGTTCTACGAGTACAGTCATGCATATTCACAAGGCAATTATCGCTCAAACGAGTCATGGTGGTAATTTCGTTGGCATCTGTGAAAAACACTGATCTATGCTTGCATACACTTTTAACTGGGGACGGAACGCCTTCGAGAGTTTAATTACTTCTTCCTCAAAATATCCTTGATCATAAGTAACCTTTGGCGCTGATTATGCTCTGATATCCATCCAAGATGTTGGTATGTTTTCCAACAGTTTTCTGAAAACAATGTGTTTCCCTCGTATTGTCAAAGACTAAATATTAGGAAGCCTGAGTGACTTGTCTTTTCTTGGGGCTTGACTAGGTGGCTTTTGAGGAAATATTCAAGGCTCAGAGTGTGCCCAAATGTGTGTCTTGTCTAGGTGGCTTTTCGGAACCCTTCTGGGAATGCCTTGGTGACTTGACATGGAGACAAGTGGTTTTCTCTCGAGCGCTTTGTCAATACGATCCGAAACATACACACTTATACTTTCTGGTCTATGCGCGGATACAACAGTTCCTTAAAGTATGCTCCATCAGCTATTTTTCTAGATTAGACATACAGATTCCTACTTATTTAATCGAAGACAGATGAAACAAGTAACGGTCATCTCCCGATTCGCTCTTATCTTGACTGAAAGCGGCCCTCTATACTTGAATCTTCTTTCTCTTCATTTCAATGTATAGTTATCTTTGGATTTAAACATACCAACATCATACCATAAATGTAAAAAGCTGAAAAACTTTCGTATTTCGAAAAAAGTTGAACATTTTTTCTCCTTTTTATTTTGAAACTCTTAAACAGCTTTTTTCTAATTCAGCGTTGAAAATCGAATTAGAAAATGTGCCTTTCGTGCTTCCCATATGTAATGTCATTGCACGAAAAATTCATCTTCAAGGATATCTCCAAAACGGAGACCTCATCGGAAATAGCTATCTAGTTTTTTTTGGTAAAAGATAGAACTTTCATTCTTGCGCCATTCGAGCGGTCTTTATTCGAACTACAAAAGTATAACTTGTTTTTTTGAAATTCCTCTCCATTGCTGAGAAATTTCACTTTTGCTAAATCAGGAGCGAAAAAATCGGAATTCTGCCACTCGGTACAAAAATCGGAATTTTCTCCACTAGAACGCGCTTTTATGCAATAAAAGTATCATATTCAGAGTCAGCGTCAAAAACTGATCCGAATGATATATGATTTGAAAGTTTCCGGTATTTTCATTTTTTGGTGAAAATCTCAGTAAATTTCGAAAAACACCAAACAGAAAAAAACACAAAAAAAAGGCAGTATTGGTAATCAGCTTCAAATTCTCTATCGAATCATATATAAAGAAGCTAAAAATAAAATAGTACTTGATTTTTGAATTACGCGCGCCTTACCAGAAAACTAGTCTTAACCGGCCCATTCAGCTTTTGAACCAAACTGGTCAGTCAATCGGCCTGCCGGTACAAGTTTACCCATTCGCTACTAATTTTGTAGTATTCTGAAAGGGGTCCTCTGCTTGTGATTCAGCGGTCCTTTCGACAGGAGGCTTGATTGAGCGATTATAAGCACTGTATTTGTGTGCTCGAGATTTAATGTCATCGATCTTAGAAGTCAATTGTTGACTGATCGCGATTATCTCGTAGAAGTGGATTTTCTTCCCCTCCAGTTCAAGGATAGATTTCTTCCGCTCTTCCTGTGGCCATTGCACTGTGATCTTGCCGTTATCGATTCTGATTTGTCCATTTTGGGTGCCACAGACGGCGCACTCGACAAACGAATCCCGAATAACAATCACGTCCAGGTGGCAGCCTAGACAAATCCCTGAGCTGTCACCCTTGTATTCAATGCTGTTAAAGTGGCGTCCAATCTGCTCAGCTACGTGGCGGCCTAGTTGTCGTGCGCGCTTAATGTTTGCGTCTGAAAGAGTGACTGATCCATGGAGGCCCTGTCCCGTCACCTGCAGTTGGTCAATGATAGCAATCTGGAGCGAGAACGTTATCATATGCATCATCGGCATGGCCATAGACCTCCAATACGGTGAGGTCGAGCCGCTAACGGAGATGAAAGCACCGACTCTGCTCTTGAATAGTCTTTCATCGATGATGATGTTCGCAAACCGTGGATCTCCAGCCTCTTTCATCTTCTTCTGCTCGATTTTGAAGGCGACGTCGCTTTTAGGACCAAAGATTTGATCGGCCAGATTTTTCAACTGACCCGGTATTGATCGACTGTAGACGGGCGCACTGATAATCAAGGCGTCGCATTCCATCACCTTCTCCAAAAACCATGAACCATCGTCGGTTAGTGCACGTTGGGATACTGGAATCGAACTGGAGGGTATACTGAGGTCGTCCACCCGCAGAAGTTCGACTGTGACTCCCAGCTCCTCCGCCCCCATTAAGGCCTCTTTGAGCAGTATCTCGCTATTTCCATCTTCGGTACCACAAGATAGTCCAAGGAGCTTCACATCAGTCCTCCTTGGAGCATAAATTTGATTAAAATGTTGACCGTATTCCGATGCGCTATGATTTTGTTGTTCATATACGTTTGAACCTTGTGATAATGTATCGGTAGCAGCTTCATGTGATAATTTAGCTTGATTAATCTCAATAGCTGGTAATGACCCTGTCGAACCCTGTTGATTATCCATGTTGCAGTTTAGTTGATGTAGAAAGAACAGAAATCATTTTTAAATTACAGCAGTGGAGAAAGTGACACAGAACTCACTATTTTATATGGATAAAAATTTCGATAATCGTTCATTCATTCTGTAATTGAGAATAACCTTTCAAAACCTGAAGCTTTCAACCATGAAAAATACAAATATACATCACGTGTTAGATACAAACACGATATTTTAGCAAATACATAATACTCAACAAAAAAGGGGCACACCTGAATCTCAAGAACCAGAATATCTCATGACTTAAAATTTCTTGTGGCTATAGCTCTTGCTAAATGTTGATCACTCAACACATTTTAGCCTCTTTGAGTAGAGGGTTCGTGAGATATAAGGATTTCATTTTTTCACTAAAACGCCGACAATTTCTGTTCTAACGGGCATGATAACATTATTTTTTCACAAAAATGCATCCATGACGCTTCTGTTTGTAGCATAAATTTGATGTGTTGGCTATTAACGATTACTGAAAAACACCTATTTTACGATGGTCGGTCGCTTTGAAATGTGGAGTGAGTATTCAAAAGAATTCACAGTTGAACCTATAAGCATTATTTTGACTTGAAACTTCCACTAAATATTTTACAATATCTGCAGATTCTTCAACCAAGAGCCCAAGATTAACTATTGTATGATTCCAGAAATCCGTTGTAAATGAGTGGATGCTAGTGCAATAAGAATAAACAGAAAAATGATCACTCGTGCCTCCGAATATTACAGACACAACCAATTATTTTTCAGTTGCCGACGCTATATCTATACGATTACCAGATCTTTTCGATATAGCATCCATGAGATAATATACATTCAGATTGTTCCTAGCCAACAACTCCATGCACGACTACTATGCTATAGAAAACTGTATACCGCCATTTGCTCATTCTAATTTTGACTATTTGCTAACATACAGCTAACCTTAAGCTATATCTTGCTTGAATGTTTCAAACACTAATGGCAGTTCTAAACAGAGTTACGAATGGTATCCGTAGAAGACTAAAAAATGTAGTCCTACTCTGGAAGTTTCAAGTGATTTCTTTTAACTTTGGAAGAACTACGGCGACCGATGTGACCTTCTTCAGGTTGGTTCCTTTTCAGAAGAAGCTATTTATAGTCCTTTAGTGTCAAATTCAGGATAATAGGGTGTTTGTTCAAGAACTTCTCTTGTAATGATTTTCTATCATTTCAAGACTAGACTTGGACATTCCACAGAGGATGTTAACAGCCAATTGCTCATATAATAATATCAATCAGTCATTAAATTTGATTTGCGGGAGGAATAAACAAAGAGACATGTGTAAAAACCTGTAACATCACTTTTGCCACTTTTTTTATTTATTTATTTAACGTAAAGACAGCTGATCTAAGAAGAAAAACGTAAACGCCTACAGTAACTATTAACTACTACATATACTGCCAACGCAAAAATATTGCTTGAGATGTAGCTATCGAATAAGACTTCACACACAGCATTAAAATTGGTGCCGGTCAACGGTCATCTTTAGGATAGTGTAGCTCTACGTCTATCGAGTTGTGCGTCTTTGCACATCCATTAAAGACGGAAAATGACAAGGCCTATCGAACAGTAAAAAACAATTAGATAAAACCTATGGGTAATTGTGCTTAGGACTACCATCGTGCTTAGAATCAATATTCACGTACTCACGTAATAAACCAAATAAGAATAATTGCTAACTCACTATTGGCGAATGATAGTTGGTATGTATTAGTATATAACAGATCTATAATAAACAACCTGCGTCAAAATCAAAATGACAAGACAGATAGTTATAAGTGGAATGAATGCTTATTTATATTTGTTGATATCTATTATTCTTTCAAATACTGCTAATTGCAGTTGGTAGTGACTAATATATGCTCAAAGTCACAACACATAATAAATGTCCTTAATTGTACGAAATTGATAAGAACGAATAAAAATCAACAAAACAAAAAAATGAAATTTTCAGGCTGAATTTTATACCAAAATGCTGTAAGCCGCATTTCCGGTTAAGTTTTTGAGTTTTGCGAAACAATAACTTTTAAGCAGTTAGTCAAGGAACCAACTCGGATAAGTAATGACGGAAACAGCGGTAGACCTAGTCTTTACCAGTTCTAACACAATAATTAATCGCGATTTCACTTTCGGAGTTTGTGAGCCTCGCGTTTTTTTGAAATTTTTTTTCTTACAACGATTTTTGAAATTCATAATATTATAGACCATTCATCAACAATTTGTGCCTTATAGAGACCCTCATCATCGTTGTAAACAGTTTCAGTGGACTCCTTTTACTATGCCGATTAGAATGTTGTAAGTTTCATTTGAAAATAACTTTGTTTAAAAAGAAAAAATGCTCTTTACACTATAATATGCTGGTGAGAGAAAAGAAATCAAAGAAAACTCGTAACTAGTAAATCACAGTGATAATCATAATGCCATTTACCCAACCCCTTTCGTTTACCATGATCAAGTAATACTTTCGAGAATAAATTACTTGTATTAAATGATGGTGATAGTGAGCAACAAGAAAATGTCGATAAAGAAGAAAAAACGAAAATCATCATCATCAGAAGAATGCAAAACAACAAAATCAGAAACAAGAATCATTATTTTCTCCCTCTGATACTAGTATGGGTGAGGGTGAGGGTGAGGGTGAGAATAACTCCTTTACGGAGTCGACTCTGTAAAACAAGATTGTCAAGGAGAATTCATACTCTCAGCTATTTACCAAGTCGACTCTGTCAATCGAGTCCGTAAAAGGGATGTGTCTCTGTCTCTCTCTCTTACAAAGCCGACTTCGCGTATAAGCATGTTGTTCTTACGGACTCACTTTACAGACTCTATTTTACCAACTCGACTTGAAAAGGAATTTAGTTTCAAGTACAGGTAAAGTGACTTTTTTTCCTTTTCAAATTCCTTTTCAAGTCGAGTTGGTAAAATAGAGTCTGTAAAGTGAGTCTGTAAGAACAACATGCTTATACGCGAAGTTGACTTTGTAAGAGAGAGAGACAGAGACACGTCCCTTTTTACGGACTCGATTGACAGAGTCGACTTGATAAATACAGAACGTTCTAAAATTTTACTCAGTTGAAATATATAACCTTTCTACCAAGTCGACTTTGTGAATTGAGGCTGTAAGTCGACTTTGTAAAGGGATTTGTTTCTCGATAGACTGCGAATCGAAGCTGTAAAAGAGAAATATTTTTCAATTAAATCATCATGAAAAAATTTTTTCTTTACCAAATTGACTTGGTAAAGAGATTTTTTTAAACTCAGTCTATGGAGAAACAAATTCTCTTTACAAAGTCAATTTACAGACTCAATTCACAGAGTCGACTTGGTAAAAAGGTTATATATTTCAATTGAGTAAGATTTTAGTGATAGTGAGGAGTACTGAGGATTAGTAATCAAAGATTGTTGGGAATTTGATACTATTGATCAGTCTTCTCATCTAATACTGTGCTTATCATG